GCCGTCAGCTGCTGCGGAAGAGCATCCTGCAGATGACGGAGCCGGTGATCGAGGGCCCGCTGGGCCGGCCGCCGTTCGAGACACCCACCATCGCGCGCGCCGTCACTAACTTCGTGCAGGCCCGGTTCAGCGCCAGTCCCAAGGTAGCAGGCGGTGGTGCGCCGGCCATAGACGGGACGGGACGGGACGGGACGGGACGGGACGGGACGGGACGGGGCGGGACGGGGCGGGACGGGACGGGACGGGACGGGGACGGGGACGGGGACGGGACGGGGACGGGGACGGGGACGGGGACGGGGACGGGGACGGGGACGGGGACGGGGACGGGGACGGGGACGGGGACGGGGACGGGGCGGGATGGACGGGGACGGGTACAGGGATGGGACGGGACGACCGGCGGTCTGAGGCACGGCCTTCATCCCCTGACCGGCAGGGATGGGTTTTATCGCAAGGCCTGAAAGTCGGATTTAGGGTGCAATGGTTGCTGAGTTCGACGTTGGGGCTTCGGGGACAGTTTGTGCAACTGAGGTCACGTCCACGATCCCATGTGGGCGCGCGACAAATTTAGAACGAGTCGGTTCTCGGACACCTCATCGCTCCATTATCGCTGTCTAATGTCTCCACGTACCGCGTCAAGTCATGGTTCGCGTAACAGCAGGCATGAATCGTCCCCATCTGACGGCGCGTCGCCGGCTCCCAACGTGTCCTGATCGCTGTGCACCGCTCCACCTGAGAGCTCCGCTGTTGGGCACCGCAGGAGCAGCAGCTGAACTTCGACCTGGCCAAGGCGTTCCTGCACTACCTGAACCACTGGCGCTGGGAGACCCCCGGAGCGCACGCCGGCGCCAACCTGAAGGAGACCACCCTCTACAAGGTGCACTTCACCAGGTGGGTTATGGCTGGAAGCCCGGGCCGGCGGCGGCCTGAGGGAGACGACCCTCTACAAGGTGCACTTCACCAGGTGGGTCATGGCTGGAAGCCCGGGCCGGCGGCGGCCTGAGGGAGACAACCCTCTACAAGGTGCACTTCACCAGGTGGGTCATGGCTGGAAGCCGGGGCCAGTGGCGGCCTGAAGGAGACCACCCTCTACAAGGTGCACTTCACCAGGTGGCTCATAGCTGGAAGCCCGGGCCGACGCCAACCTGAGGGAGACCACCCTCTACAAGGTACACTTCACCAGGTGGGTGATGGCTGGAAGCTCGGGCCAGCGGCGGCCTGAAGGAAAACCTGCGAAAGGTGCTTATCACCTGTCAGTCAGTTCGTGTCAGCACGTTTGAACAGCACAATTGAAGTCATTAAATACTGACGCATATTGTGACGCGCGCCACGTGCGTCACCACAGCCCCTTCCCTAGTCGGATGCTGCGCACTTTTTTTCGTGGCTTGCTCGACCGCGGTTTCGGTTTTTCTTTCCTCGAACGGGTGTGCACTTGGTACACGTCTCTGCCCCGCGAACGTGCCCCGAAAACCTCGCGTGTCGGCCGCGCCGCAGATGGATGTGCTACTGCCACGTGCCGACCATCTGCACGTCGATGACGCACTGGGACCCGGCGGCCGTGTTCGGCCGCTCGGTGCTGCGTCTGCTGCTGCGCACGGTCAGCGCCCGCCTCCTGCAGAAGATCGACATGGACAAGGAGAAGATGGCCAAGGACAAGCGGCTGCTGATCCTCACACACATGCCCAGGTCAGCTGGCGCGGCTGTGGCGCTGTTTGTCTTGTTAGACGCTGGTGCTCGCACACATGTCCAGGTCAGCTGGCGCGTCTGCGGTGCTGTTTGTCTTGTTCGACGCTGGTGCTCGCACACATGCCCAGGTCAGCTGGCGCGTCTGTGGCGCTGTTTGTCTTATTAGACGCTGGTGCTCGCACACATGCCCAGGTCGGCTGGCGCGTCTTTGGCGCTGTTTGTCTTGTTAGACGCTGGTGCTCGCACACATGCCCAGGTCGGCTGGCGCGTCCGTGGCGCTGTTTGTCTTGTTAGACGCTGGTGCTCGTACGCATGCCCAGGTCGGCTGGCGCGTCCGAGGCGCTGTTTGTCTTGTTAGACGCTGGTGCTCACACACGTACCCAGGTCAGCTGGCGCGTCTGCGTTGCTGTTTGTCTTGTTTGACGCCGTGAAACGACACTGCTTATTGCGTACACACCTTATGGTGGGGTGCAGAGCTGGGTGAGGGGTGAGTGACCGTTCATCGAAGTAGTGTCCGATCACTCTCTTGGATTTTTTCAGGGCATTGCCTCCATTGCTCAAATTGCCAGAAATCGAGCTAGGCTTCGGTGTTATGTGCTTTCCCCGAGGACGCAGATTAGCCTGCACACGACTCAACGCTGTATGTGGCCCACACTCACGTTAATACACGGGAATGGCAATGTAACGCTGATGACATCTCTGCCCAACAGGTTTCTTTCTTTGCTTGAAGAAGAAGTCTATGGGACCTCGACCAACATCTTCGATATAGACTTCAAGCCGCCCGCCCAGAAGTCTATCGGTGAGTCGTTGCGTCGTGCATTTGCCGTGCCTGTTTATCTACGTCTGTTTTATTCATGTCTGTTTTGTCATGTCTATTTTACATTTGAGAGGGATGAAAGAAACTAAAAATCCCTCACTGTGCGGCTTGAATTCTACGTTGTGAATTGGTACTGTCCTCTATGACGTGCATATGGTAAGCTATAGGACTATTCAAGATGTGCCGCCTTGAAGTGTTCGCCGCCATTAGACTGCATCTCGTTGGATTCATTTAGGCTTGTTAGCGCGTTCGTTGACGGTTGGCCCTTACCGTGTCCCAGAACCGCAGCCTTGATCCATGATCGTGTCCGCTGATAGTGCCGTCCAATCGTCCTGTTTCCCGTTTGTGTCCCTGGATCCCGGCAGGCTGCATCCCCGGGCTGTATCCCCTGCGTCCCCAGCTGGTGACCCCAGCCCGTGATCCCAGCCCGTGATCCCAGCCCGTGATCCCTGCCCGTAACCCCAGCCCGTGACCCCAGCCCGTGATCCCTGCTCGTGACCCCAGCCCGTGACCCCAGCCCGTGATCCCTGCTCCGTGACCCCAGCCCGTGATACCTGCCCGTGACCCCAGCCCGTGATCCCTGCCTGTGATCCATGCCCGTGAGCCCAGCCTGTGGCCCCAGCCTGTGACTCTGGTCGGTGACCCCAGCCGGTGACCCCAGCCCGTATCGTTCCGCAGAGGCGCGGCCGGAGCCGTCACCGGGCCCGTCGGCGGCGGCTGCTGAGGAGCCGGCGGCGGCGCGCCGACGGCCGGAGAAGCGCACCGCCGAGGACGACGAGGAGCGCGCCGTCAAGCGGCCCCGACCCGACGAGGACGTCGACCCCGACCTCGTCCGACAGATCCTCGAGAGCATGGAGGACCCCAAACGGCTGGCCGGCCAGGAGGTACGTGCCAGCTGGTGTCACCGGTGGCGGCCAGTGGCGGCGGCCGCAGCCAGAGCGGCTGACTGGGGTTCAGCGCGGCTGTTTGAACAATCGACGACTGTTGTTTGCTGTTGTTGTGAAGCTTATGTGCCTTGGTTGTTTCTTCGGCTTTTTAAACGGTCACTGAACTTGGCTGTCAAGTGTTACAGCTGAGGCTTGCGGAGCGTTTCCGATCTGTTCAGGTGTGCTGAACGCATCCGTGTGGCAGCACGACTGCATGCTGTTATCCCGGCCGTATGATTTCTGTCCCGTGTTGTGGCCGCCCTCGGCTGCTCAGTGCGCAGTCACGCGTCTGCGAAACATCTGCTGCGCGGAGGACCGTCATGCAGAAACACGTGACTGCATAACCAAGCCATAGCCAGCGGCAGTTCGCCGAATGGGCTGGCCTTTTTTTCGACGAAATTCGCTAAGTTGCGGCGAGTCACGTTTCGGGCTATTGTCTCTTTTACGTCTACCTCTCGCTGGGTGTGGGTGACAGTGTGTTATTTCGAGATCGGTTTCGGAAAAAAACGCGACACGGTGCTGGGCGACATGGGTAGTTTGTAGGCAGCACATGAGCCCACAACATGCAGTTGGTTCCATGGCGTTATGTGCATGATCCGTCGGGATCTGGCGTGAATCTTATAAAATGCCTGGAAACGCCGGATCCGTGGTTTTTGAACGAGCGCACGTGGGCCGCTCGCACGTCATAAGCCGCGCTTTTGCCAGTGTGGTAGTCCGTTCTTTGCCGAGTCGAAATTTGCGGATTTCGCTTCCTTCAAACGGATCGGATTTGTAGCCCGTGGCGGTTCTGTGTTACGTTGCATTTAGTGTGTTTTCGTCAGGAAACTCATCTGTGAACGGAAAATAAGGAAATTTACAGCATTTAAACAATGTTGGTGTGGTATCATTTATAAGAGAATGTGTGGAAATGCAATCATTAAATCTTGCTGTTTGTTAAATCCTGTTGCTCCTGTTTCTTCCTGCTTTTCGTTCGTCACAGTGGATTAGATGACTATCGAAAACACACGTACACAACGTGACTATTAATCGTCGGAGGGTATCAATCGGGCACCTTTGAACTGAGATACTTGATAATGTCACAGGCACTGTTCACCGCCATTGGGCACCTGTGTGACCCAGTTGCGTTCAAATCCGAGAGATGAGAGTACAAGTCACCCTTCGTTATGTCGTAGAAAGGCCGATGCTATTTTGGTATGTTGTGCTATGCCTGACAATAATGCGTGTTATCATTCCTTTCATTCAGTCGTACAATTTGCATAGTTCAATTTTTTGGAGTCTGGCTGGTGTTGGTCGCGAGGAGCTCAATAATATTTGTTTTCTGCTTGGTCTAAATGGGTACCCTTTGGTGCTTCTCATGCAGTCATATTGATACGAAAACATGCATACACTGTTTTTCCTTTCATTAGATTTTGTTTCATTCATAAGATATTGTCAGCTAGCTGCATTGACGCACCATTAGTCCCCGCTGAAGTCCGCAATACCTGCTTGGTTGTAACATGTATGCCGGAAGCAGCTCCGCCCGCCGTCCTGGTCATCCGATGACTCCCAGCCGGCCCCGCGGATCCCTGCCACCAGATCCTCGCGATGCCCCGCTTGTCAGGAGTAGGCTGCATGCGCCAGCCACGAGTGGGCCGAGAGGCCCCTGGGAAGAGGGACCCTGACCGGGCGCCCAGCGTTCACTCCGGGGGCTCTTGCGCGGGCCAAAGCTCAGCGGTTGGCGCCCAGGCGCGTGTAGCACTGCCCCAACGTTATTCATTCTCCTTCATCCATAGTCCTGAAATGATCATCTCTGATCGAAAGGCCTCTAATCCATACAGCCAAACAGCCAATTCTCGGGCTATGTAGTGCCGGGTGCAGACGTAACCACGTGACCTCACCGCCGGCCGGGAGGGCCGTATTGGCAGAGGCGATGACAAGCTACGGTTGGCCTGCCCCGCCACGGGGTGTCGAAAGCAACTTTCTATTGATGTTGCAGACGTTCGAAAGGTTCAGCCACGGGATGATACATGAAACTGACGCTGTCATTGGTTCGCTTCCAATGCATGCTGGAGGCCAGAATGTGCTAGATCCTAGTCATGACCATCTCGACTGTGGATCCCCGCACATTGCTGAAAAAAACATGACCCAGTGCCTTTGCGCTGGAGTTCCCAGAGCGCGCGATGTTTGCTTCGGGACGTAACACCAGCTGGAGGCTTTGTTGGATTGTTTTCTGACGTTCCGGCGCCATGGGACTGAACGGGGCCGTCCGTTCTCCACAGTCGCTGTTTTCGGAGAACGCGGCCCGCGACGAGGCGGCCAAGGCCGAGGAGCGCGCCGGCCACATCAGCTTCCACGTGGTCGGCAACTCGCTCAGCCAGAAGGTCAGCAAGACCACCATGCTGTGGCTAGTCGGCCTGCAGAACGTCTTCTCGCACCAGCTGCCCCGCATGCCCAAGGAATACATCACGCGGCTTGTCTTCGACCCGTGAGTTCCGGCCGCGCCTGGCCGCTGCGCCGTTGCCGCTCTGCAAACCTGGGAGGCTCGGGGTGGTTTTCGTCCGCGTGCTGTTATTCGTTTGTGTGTTTGACCTTGCGCCCTGATGAGGCATTTCGGTATTTCTTGCGCGTATTTCTTGTTGATGTGCTCACCGCTTCTCCTCTTGATGTGTTATGCGGTGTCAGCGTGGATATTTTCCGCGTTTGTTTTCGTTTAGTTGCTGATTTACAGACTCACGCTGCGAAAGCCGCGCGTTGTTTGCGCGAGCAGACTGTGTGGTCGTCGCTGCTCCCCAAGCTTCCCGCCGTGAGGCCCCGTCCGCCGTCTCGTGGCACAGGCCGCCGGCCGTGTCTCGCTCTCTGCCGTCCTGACACAGACATGCTCACCGGGCCGGCGGCAGGAAGCACCGGACGCTGGCGCTGGTGAAGAACAACCGGCCGATCGGCGGCATCTGCTTCCGCATGTTCCCCAGCCAGGGCTTCACCGAGATCGTGTTCTGCGCCGTCACCAGCAACGAGCAGGTGCGTTCTGGCGGCCGGTGTGCGGCGCCTGTGTAGTTCGACGCTTTTTGTTGGATGTAGTGTGATCCGGCGCTTCGCGTAAACACTTGTGTATTTAAGCCAGGAATTTGATCGAAGAATCAAACAAGATATGGGATATATATCTGGTACTCATATCGTGCTCAAATATCACATACTTGGTACAAATGTCACGAGTCGCGTAGTTGTCGGTCACAACCTTGAACTCGCTCGACCTGACGTGTCGTGCCCGTCCGTCAGGTCAAGGGCTACGGCACGCACCTCATGAACCACCTGAAGGACTACCACATCCGCCACGGAGTGCACCACTTCCTCACCTTCGCCGACGAGTTCGCGGTCGGTACGTCTCTCAATGGGCCGAGGTCCGCCGACGGCGGCACTCCTGAATAACGCCCTCTGGCGCCAGTCAGTGATGGCGCTGCGCGGCCTCTGCCGCTGATGATAGTTTAAACGCGTGATGATCAGCCGCGTTGCGTGGAAGTGTTGTTGCGTCTTGTTATGATCATTTCAGTGTCATGGTATCCTGGCGCGCGCGCGTGTGTGTAGGGAACAGCTATGTAGGCCATGCATTCCACACATTAGCAGTCGTCGCACTGCGAATGTGAAAACGTGCCGATCGGTTGATCTGTCGCTGCGCTCCGGCAGGTTACTTCAAGAAGCAGGGCTTCAGCAAGGAGATCAAGCTGAACCGGAAGAAGTACGTGGGCTACATCAAGGACTACGAGGGCGCCACGCTAATGGGCTGCGAGCTGTCGCCCCGCATCATCTACCGCCAGTTCAGCTCCGTCATCAGGAAACAGAAGGAGGTGGGTGGCGTCGGGAGGCCTCTGGCCGCCCCCCCTGAGGAGTTACTCGGGACTGCGGCCGTCAGCAAGCTGTAGCAGGGCTGATGTCCTGGCGTCTGCCGCGCATGACTGGTGTTAATGCTCCCTGCTCCTGCTCCCTGCGCCGTGCCAGGGTTTCCGAACTGCCTCGCCCAGCTGGGATAGGGGTCCGAATTGGTCCGCAGTCCGCTTGAAAACATTAGTGATGTAAAACCATGTGGTAAACACCGCCGTAGTGATTGTATAAACTCTCCGCTGGTAGCCTTTTTCAGTCAATGGATCTCCGTCCAAGACACGAAAATGGCCCGAAGATAGATCAAATCATAAGCAATCTGGACTCTCCTAGGCACTGCACCGGGACCACGCAACACAGCGCCACAGCTATGCCACTGAAGTCTTTCTCTGTGTCTCGGGCAGAAAGTACGGTGCTAGGACCACCTGTGGCCTCCCAGACCTGGGTCATCTTTTTCACGGCGAATACCAGTGATTTGCTGTAGTGAATTATTCGGCTGGAAGTGGTGTATTTCTCTTTCAATGAAGCAACAATGTTGTTTTGGTTCCGATGTCGCCCAACGGCTGACCTGGGAGCGGCTTGGGTCAAAGGGGTCACCCGAGCTAAATCACCGCACCTAGGCCCCGCAACTGACTTGCTTGTTTCGCCGGGACCCCGTAACCTCACTTGACCCCACCTACATACTGGCAGCGATGCTCCGTTGGCATGCTGTCAACCTTACGGCCTTATGTATCCCTGTTTGCTACACCCAAACATCACCCGGACTACATTGTCGTTTCAAAGTGGTTAAAATGGTAAACATGTTATTTTTAGCATGCATGCATCGCTAGAGAACGACTGTTTACAAAAATTCATTTCAGATCAGGCTAGTACACTGACATGACTTGACCTATAACATGCCAACGATCAACAGACTGCCCAGTCAGGACTGGTGGACTTTCAGCCCGTTGGCTGAAATTCGGCCCAAACCCATGATAAACCAAACCCGAGCATCGCACTTTCGGAACATCAAGGAACACGACCCTTGACGCATGCGAGCCTTGGATAATGACCTTATATCTACGTTGCCTGATGTAACGCGAGGTCGCGATTGGTTTCAAGATGTGCGGCAGCTGCCGCAGTTGCGCTATCAGCGGAGTCAGCGTATACTGGTCAGTCCCGTGCGTCGTTCCAGTGTGCTCTATCCGAACGGATAAGCATATGAAGGGCCTTGGTGGGCAATGCTTTTACTTTCGCGCGCGAATCCAACGGAAAGTGTCCATTTTTGGCCTCGTTTCAGTGGCCCAAGATTACGAAAAGGTGTTGACCGTGGCGCCGCGCGTCGGTGCTCCGTGTTGCAGATTATCAAGCGGCTGATCGAGAACCGACAGGCATCCATCCGCAAGGTGCACCCGGGCCTAACGTGCTTCAAGGAGGGTGTACAGGGCATACCGATCGAGTGCATACCAGGTACGGGGCAGCCGCCAAACCCCGGTGGCGCGGGCTGGGCGGTGGAAGAGGGGGCGGGGGTTATGACGACGCCGGGCGGTCGTTCACGCGGCGCAAGTCGTCGTGTCCAGTGATCCGGTCTGCCTTCGTCCAGTGCGTGGAGTATTAGCCGGTGACGTGCCGTTTATCCGCACATCTTCACCCAAGACCGCCGTGAAGGGTGGCATGGCACAGCGCGGTGTTGCCGGCTGGATGAGCCGGCTGCCGAGGGAGCCCGGCGCGGTCGCGGCGTCCACGGTCGTGATCAGTGGTGGCCAGCCTGCTCGCGCCCGCGCCGTGCGGAGACTGCAAGTCACCCCTGCCGCCGTCGCCGGGCACTCCGTGCCGTCCGTTTATCATCTGAAGGTCATTGTCTGAACACTCGTCCTGCCGCGCCGGTCGGTTTATTGACTCGGCTGCGCAGTGGCTCGAGGTCACGCGCTGCCGGGCGCGCGGGGTTCGGGACCGAGCGGGGGAGGGCGACCGCTGCTGACGGTGGCAGATGACAGCCGGCGGGACCGATGTCTCCTTCCCGCTGGTGGTGTTGGCCGCTGGCCGTGTGGACGAGGCGAACCCACCGCCGCCGCCGCCCCAGAGGTGCAGGTGGCGCGACTCCAGCCTATAAGTAGGTTTTTAAGGGCCCATGGCGCGGCGTACGCCTGTCATACGCTCGCTGACACCTCTCAATCACATGCGTCGCTAGGCAAGAGGCATCAAGGACTTTTCGAATCGATCTTGAAAACGTGTTTGCTTCAAACGTGACGAAAAGCTATCTCATCCATCTCGCCGTGAAGTTTCTTTTGGGGTTACCTCACATAACGATGTTGGGTTCCCCGTTCTGGCCGCGGCCATCATCTGATCCGCCAATCAGCTACACAAACACGTACCCTTGTTCGCCTCCCCTCCTTGACCGCGCCGCTGTCATAACAGGGAGACGGCGACCTGAGCTGACCCTGACCCTGACCCTGGCTCTGACCCTGACCCTGACCCTGGCTCTGACCCTGACCCGGACCGTGCCCGGGACGGCAGGGATTCGGGAGGCCGGCTGGAAGTCGCCGGAGAAGTCTGCGCGCGTCACACGCAATTCGGACGACCTGGGTAACGCCGAGCTACTGCAGGGCACGTTCCGCACCCTGCTGCAGAACATGCGCCAGCACAGCGCCGCCTGGCCGTTCCTCTCGCCTGTCGACCCTACCGACGTGCCCGACTACTACGAGTTCATCAAGTACCCGATGGGTGAGAGCAAAGCGGACGGGACAGGGATGCGGCGGGTACTGGGGTAATCAAACACGCTACAGTCTGGAGCTGCATGTTTGTGAAGGTTTCACGCGTGTTGTACGTGAGGTGTTACTCAGGTGTCGCGTTCGTAGCGTTAAAATGGTCCTCAGCACGACGATACGCTGATATATCTTGCGTGCCAGTCGTATTTCTTTCTTTGTTTGTCTGTCGGTGTAATTTGATGTGTGCTACAAGACGCACATCTGACATTCGATCTTGTCTGACCTTCGATTGTGTCCCCAGATCTGGAGACGATGTCGAAGCGGTTGAAGAACAAGTACTACTGCAACAAGCGGCTGTTCATTGCCGACGCCACGCGCATCTTCACAAACTGCCGCATGTACAACGACCCAGACACCGAGTACTACCGCTGCAGCGTCACCCTCGAGAAGTACTTCCACAACCGGCTGAAGGAGGCCGGACTGACGGACAAGTGAGCGGCCTTGGTGCCGCGCGCGGCCCACCGGGGCGGGCGCTGAGTCGGTCTCATCCCTGGAGGGCGTGGGGAGCGCGGTGCGGCGGCGGGTGGCGGTTGCGCACGCAGGCCGCTGCTGAGGACGTGACGGCGAAGCGGGCGCGGCCGGCGGTCGCCTGCGCGCGACACCCAGCCTGGTGCCGAAGCGAGCCCGCCGCCCAGCCGGACGGCGCGGCCGAGTGTGTGGAGGTCGAGCGGGGCGCTGCTGGCGGCGGGGCGCCCAGCCGAATGTTCCCGCAGAGTGTGCGGAGGTCAGGCCGGGCGCTGCTGGCGGCGGGGCGCTTAGCCGGATGTTCCCGCCGAGTGTGCGGAGGTCGGGCCTGGCGCTGCTGGCGGCGGGGCGCGCAGCCGGATGTTCCCGCCGATTGTGCGGAGGTCAGGCCTGGCGCTGCTGGCGGCGGGGCGCGCAGCCGGATGTTCCCGCCGAGTGTGCGGAGGTCGGGCCTGGCGCTGCTGGCGGCGGGGCACCCAGCCGGACAGCGCGGCCGAGTTTATGGAGGTTGGGCCGGGCGTTGCTGGCGGTGGGGCGCCTAGCCGGACGGCGCAACGGAGTGTGCGGAGGTCAGGCCGGGCGCTGCTGGCGGCGGTGCGCCCAGCCCGTACTGCCAACTGGCGGCGCTGCTGGCGGGTCTGGCGTGCCGTGACTGTGGCGTGGTCCGGACCGTTCGGCCAGCAGCCGACAGTCGGGCGCAGCTGGTTCGAGAAAAACGGCTGCCATCTCCCAGCCATGCTGGCGGTTTTCAGCCCAGCTTGACTTGCAGACACGGATAGGCATAGCCGTGTTCGTGAAGAATGTGTAGTTATTATTTGTTAGCGACGAAAGCTCATGCCGTCCCGACGTCGTCTGTGGGCAGAATGTTCGTATGGTACTTCGCGTGATTGCTCGATGCTATCTCAAAGTGGTTCCCTGGCGTAGCCCGTTTTCGGCCGTCTTCGCCTCTGTCCCGCTTGTGCCGTCCTGCCTCCTAGCCTAGGTGCCTCCCCCGTGGTCCATAGCCGGTCGTCGGCGTTAAGGCCACGGACTGGCGTTATTCTCCAGCAGCCGCCGATCGGGAAGTGAAGCTGAGAAGCTGCTCTAATGTTTGGAGCGCATTGTCCAGCGCAGGAGGCCGCTCGGAGATCATCACCATCGCTCTCGTTTTCACCAGTCATGTACCGCTGCAGTGTACTCAACATGTCCCAATAGATCCTGTGTTTGTTGTAGCAGTGTGATCTTGAGGCTTGGCGAGTACCATTAAGTGCAGGACTTCCGCTGCATGTGCGCTAGCCCACGAGGCTTTTGGTGTATGAGGCTGAGCCATCGCGCCAGGACTGCTATGCTTTCACGTCAGCGTGGGGGGTCATGCTCCAGCATAATCCACTGTATTCTCCCAAGTTGCCACCATCGTTGCTGTGGTCAGTTCGGGCACCGATGAGGTACCGTTGTCGGATCCCTGCCCGATGAGGGAATAACCATTCAGAACCGTCTGCTGTCGCGGCATACGTCACATACCCTTTACGTATTCACTGAAATCTACGCGGTGACGTGACCAGAAGCTAAAGTTTTGCATTGGAAGTTGTTAAAAACATGCGTTTATAGGGGCAAAAAGGGGTAAAACTCCTTTTGGTGGTAAAGTAGGGGACATGTCCTCCTTCCGCTCCCAGAAGCTGTACCCATACGTGCTATGCAGTGGGTTGCAACAGTAGGTGTCGGTATGAATAAGTAGATACACCTTGTAAGATCGCTGTAGCTAGTCACAAGACGGTAGACAGCTTGTAAGTAGTCACCTTGGCCATGGCTGTCGACGAAGGCAACCCGTAGTGCATCTTTCAAGCTGGTGCGACAACGGAATGATACACGAAACCGTACAGCTTTGTGATAGCTCCGTACACAATTGGAAAATTGGCATTGGGATTGCAACTAATTCCATCGACCTTGGATCGGGTATGCGGGACTACATACATTATCAACAACATTTGCGAGGAGCGTTATGCACGTAGATAAGGTCTTCTTCCTCGGAGAAAAATCGAGAAAATGGATATATAAGTGCTCCGATGTTTTGGCAACACGCCTTTTTTAAATAAGACAGTGACAGCCCTCTTTCCCGGAAGAAAAACAGGAGAATGGATATATATATATATATATATATATATATATATATATATATATATAGATAGAGATATATATGTGCGTGTATATATATACATATGTATATATATACATATATACATATATACATATATATATATATATATATATATATATATATATATATATATATATATATGTTTGTAAATGGGTCGATAATTCGGCGACATGCTTTTATCGAAACAATAGCAAACTTGCTTGAATACAATAGCAAAGGTTTGCTGTTGTTTCGATATAGGCATGTTGCCGAAACATCAACCCACCTACATCTCCATTCTCCTGCTTTTTTCCGAGGAATAAGGCTTTTACTACTGTCTTATTTATGTGAATAATGTTCCTCGCGGATGCACTGGACCCCCCCCCCCCCCGTGAGGCACTACCTCTCCGTGGTGGGGGGATTGCGTGCCCCACTAATCCTGCGGGCGGTTGGGAAGGCTTGTAAAGCGCCCCTTCCGGCCAAAGAGGAGGGGCCAGACGAAACGTGCCTCCCGCAAGGGCTCTGACTCGTTCAGAGTAGGGATTAGCAACCCCTCGGCCCCAGCTTTTCAGTCTTATCTGGGTCTCGCCGTACGCCGTTGGATCCGCAGGTAGCGATGAAGGGATCCTGGTCACTGAGGGAGTTGCCCTGCGAGTCAGTCGGGGCAGCTTACAAACACGTGGCTTTGGCCCGAATTTGTGATCCTGCGGATGCCTCGTGAAGTCTCCACACGAGGAAATCGGCTGGTCAGGCGTCGTGTTTTCGTGACACTGGCTTGGAGGCAAGCAGGTCATGTGACGGGTGTTGAGGGGAGGGCTACCGGGTGCAATGTCTGCCTCCTGACATTATTAACGGGCCGTACCTCGGCTTGTCACCAGGGTGCATGGTTAGCACCTGCGAACCGAGGCACTGGCGCCCGCAGACATATGCCCGGTAGCTCTCGCGGCAACTCTTTTGGCACACTGGCCTGCGTATAGCGTGCTGGTAGCCCTGGCGGCTCCTCTCTTAGAAGTGGACCGTCCCTGTGTTGGGCTCCATGGTGGGCGGGGAATCAGCGCGCCGAATCTAAACACATACCTATGGACACTATCATCAACCAACCCCCCAAACCCCGACCGTCGTCCACTACCCCAGTTTCTGGTCGTAAGAGCCGCCAAAGTAGATGACAAGGAAGGACAGTACCGCTCCGACTAAACCCATTTCAGCGCCCACAAGCATTTTCCAAGATTGGGACGCCCAAGGTTGTCTTTTCGTATGCGGACAGAGGCATAGAAGTGCATCTAACAGACGAACGCGAGATCCAGCGCATGCTTAAAACAACCACACTTATGCACAAAGTACGAGGACAGGGAGAGGTTAGGGTGCCCGTATCGGTGCACTCTCACCCCTCTAAGAACTACCCCAAGGGTGTGATTACTTGCCGGGACCTTCGCGGTGTGAGTGATGAGGATGTTGCTTAGGGCTTGTGTGAGGAAGGGGTGACGGCAGTGAGAGGTATCAAGAGGAGAGAGAGAGGAGAGCTGACCGATACTGATTCAATTATTCTGACGTTTTGCTCTGCGAGACTGCCAGATAGGGTCCGCGTGGGATATCAGTCGGTTCCTGTTAGGGTCTATGTACCCGATCCAGTCCGATGCTACCGATGCCAGACGTATGGTCACTTCACGGACAAGTGCTGGAAAGAAGTTAGATGCGGAAGGTGTGCGGAAATAGGTCACCAACACTGAGTGTAAATCAGAAACCGTGAAATGCGTCAACTGTGGTCAGGGTCACGTGGCGTCATATCGCAGCTGTCAGTCCTTCTTGTTAGCGAAAGCTGTCCTGAACATCAAAGTGAAGGAAGGAGTCTCGCTTCGGGAGGCCCAACGCCGACACAGCGATGCGACCACCACAAGGACATACAAAGACGCCCTTACCAATCCGGCAAGAAATTTAGCCCAAGTAACACCCGCAGCCAACGAGGTACTGAAACTGAGTGGACTTGATGATTTCAAGGGCATGGCTGTAGGCGAGTTTGTACAGCTGATACTAAGCACACTTGTATCAACTGGCTCTGCTGTTCCGTCGTACCGGAAGTCGGATCCTCCGGAAAAGAATCCACCTGCGGCATTGGCCGCCGCTAGAGAAGCTCAGCCTATGGGGCTGGAACCCCCTGGTGAAGCTGCCAGAGAGCCCGGGGCTGGGTCGCGACCCGGGAACGAGGGATGGACCACGGTCCAGCGAGGTCGTGGACTTCGCCCCCCATCATCGCACCCCGGCCCAGCCCGTGCTGAAGACACGCCCTCCCGGGCTCCATCTTCCCCTCCATCCATACCAGCTACGACGGGATCTGTCGTCGCTGGCACAGGGGCGCTACGAGAGCTGCCCCCCGCTGGCTCCCCAGCTAGTGGCCCTGCCGGGAGCGCCGGTCCCCCCGGCTCACGGGAGCCGGACAAGGTTCGGCATCCCCCGGTCGTCGCTCCCTCCCGGAGCCGCCCCTCCGAAACTGTTGTTCATCCGGGTTCTCTGGACCTTGGCACTGCAGGGCGCGCCGCCAGGTCGGCGTCTGCACAGCGGACGGGGGGCCGGCTCCCGCTGTTGACTCCGCCCCACTCACCGGGAGGGTCAATGGGTCCGCCTCCCATTCCTCCGCCTGGGGACGGGGTTGCGGGTCGTCCTACCCTGCAGTCCCCGGTGGCGGGTCGTGCAACAAAGCGTGCCCCTCCTTGGCCGTCGTCGCCTACGGAGGGTGGAAGTCCCAAAGCTCGGCCAAGGGTCCGGCTTACCTCCACTGAAGTAGAGCGTCGCCAGGGAGATTTGTTTAGTGCAAAACCCTAGGTGAACGCTTAAAGCAGATGTAAGCTGTACCGATGGATCTTAACCGTACACCCCACATACAAGCATACAAGCATGCCACTGACGTTTTTACAATGGAACATGCGTGGCTTGAGGGCCAACATGTCGGACCTACACACACTCTTATCTTATCGTAACCCGGTTGTGGCATGC